TTTTTTACTAATGTGGCAATTTAAGAAATTTTTGTTTATCGATTGGTTAGTGGGTCCATGCATTTTTAAAATTTAGCTAACGAAGTGAATTCGCCATTTTATAACAGTAACTTTACTAATTTCCTTTTTGTATGAATGATTCATTGTAATATAAATTAAACTGCACCTGATATTTCATTTAAAAGAACTGATCCAAAGTGCCAACATTCGGTAAATTAACTAAGACATTGCTCTAGTTATTGAACTGTTTAGTTTATGCCACGTTGACTGATAAAGTTCTACAACACACACACACACAAATATATATATATATATATATATATATATATATATATATATATATATATATATATACATATAAATATAGATAACTAGACTCGTTTCGAAAAAAACCCTCAAATTTTTGATTTGCTAATCAAATCAATCTCGAGGGAAAAAAGGTTTTAAAAAAAAGAAAGAGCTACAAACATGAACTTCTGCCGACAAAAAAAAATCGCACAGATGCAGGTCTGAAGCCAAAAAAAAAAAACCCGATACGACTAACAACTAACTAAAAAAAGAGCTCAATACAACCGTAGAGCAGACCTAGATACACCTAGTGAGCCAGACAAACCTACCTAGGTAGGTTTGTCTGGATCACTATCTATGTATATATATATATATATATATATATATATATATATATATATATATATATATATATATATATATGTTTTATAGTAAAATAAGGAAGAACAGTAAGATATGTAATCGGGTATTCTTATTGATATTTTATTTTTACAAAACAGTGCTCAATGTAAATTTACAGAGCATAAATATCATTAATTAATTGATTTATAAATATTCCAAAATTCGCTTGAAGATGAAATAGATCTAAGGCTTTTAAATTTGAAATATTTGTTTTCTGTTTTTGAAACAGTAATTCCTGTGTAGCGATAAAACCATATTTTAAATCAGTTATATATATATATATATATATATATATATATATATATATATATATATATATATATATATATTCTTAAATTGGCATATTAGTAAAAAACGCTATCACTTAAATTTTCAAATATTCAACCTTGGCGTTGCGATTACACGCTCCACAATTTTGTATCCGTTATCAATAACGCACTCCAAAAAACCTATTTCAATTGGAATTATATTTTTTCGTCTCGGGTGCTACCTGAATTTTACCAAAAAAAAGATGTTTCCATGCCTGATGATGGCCAGAGAACATGTCGAAAGTACTTGTATATTAAAGGAAGACCTAATACAATTTATGATTTTAGAAAATATGTGTCGTAACATTCATCGAATGGTTAGTGGGTTAATGGATTTTTAAAATTTTGTTAGCGAATCATTATCATTAACTTTATTCATTTACGTTCTGTATGAATGATTCATTTATATATATATATATATATATATATATATATATATATATATATATATATATATATATGATTATATGATTATATATATATATATATATATATATATATATATATACCCAAGTATATAATTGGTATATACAGAATGAATTCCAATAACCAACAATTACTATTCTTAAAAGAGTGCTCAATACAAAGTAGAGCAGATATAATTATTATTTATAAAAAAAATTATAACATAAGTATGTTATAAAATCACTACAAAAATAGCCATTTTGTTTCAACACAATCGTCAATTAATCTGAAACTTTTAAAACCATTTATTTTATCTTCAACATCATCACTTGATAAGACACAGAGTGTATTGAAACAAAATGGCTATTTTTGTAGTGATTTTATAACATACTTATGTTATAATTTTTTATAAATATATATATATATATATATATATATATATATATATATATATATTATCATCTACGGGTTTAATATTTTCCCCCACAAAACAATCAGCATTTTTCGTTTTAGAAGTTATTTCCTATCTACAAGTGACACGTATTGCAGATATGTAAAATAAAAAGAAATAAATACTTTATAATTGTTTGGAATTAAACGCACGGACAATGAGTTTTAATCTACTTGTTGGAATAATTGAATCAGCTACTCGATCAGAATAACTGTTGGTGATGACGTATTAAGAAATTGTTTGTTTTTTTTTAAATGCGAAGATTAGCTTTAAATCACAATTACAGTTTCAGAATAATTCGTTAACACCGTTCATATATAATCCCTATCAAAGAATTAAATATTCTACTGACAAATTTAATATTCATTGACTGAAAAGGGAGCAACTGTTTAAGCGAGTGTGGAAAGTCCGTATCTTTTTTATATCATTATATTTCCTTCTAGTTACATGTGCAATCCATTTTAGTTGTTGCTGCTGTTGAAAGTCTTCAAGTGATGTGGTTTGTGCTATTGTTGCGCCAGTCTACAAGATCTGATGAGGATTCTGTCTATATCTCTGAGATGAGGTATTATGTTTACTTGCATTATTTACATTATTCGGACTGTTATCATCATCTTCATTGCCATATTCACAATGTTTCGGCCGTTGTACGCTCAGGCCTTCTTCAGCTGATTGGAATTTTGAACAGAATCCTATATTTCGTCCACCGGGGTAGATTCTAGTTCCACGTACCATTCCGGATGTCTCAGTTATTTCTCTTTATCTCAATTCTCCAAGTTTTGGTTCACCACTGCTGTGGTCTGGTATTGAACTCACAACTTTTTCGGTTTAGTCACTGGATCTGACCAACGTCTTTACCCACTCAAGGACACATGGGCCAGTGGATACAGACGTTAGTTAGATCCAGTGAGTTCAATATCAGGCCACGGCAGTGGTGATCCAAAGCTTGGAGAGTTGAGTTAAAGGGAAATAACTGAGACATCCGGAAGAGGCATGGCACGTGGAACTAGAACAATCTTCCCCGATGGACGAAATAAAGGGTTCGGTTCGAAATTCCAATCACCCGAAGAAGGTTGGAACGTACAACGGCCGAAACATTATGAATATGGCAATGAATATGATGATAGCACGTGTTATGCCTCAGTTAGAGGCATTCGGAAGAGGCATGACACGTGGAACTAGAAAAAAATTACCCCCTGAAATAAAGGGTTAGAAATGAACGAAATAAAGGGTTCGGTTCGAAATTCCAATCACCTTAAGAAGGCCGGGGCGTACAACGACCGAAATGTTGTGAATATGGCAATGAAGATGCGGATAACAGTTCAAGTAATTGAAATACTGTAGCTGTTTATCGTCTGGGTGTCATTTTTCATCATTGGTCTGGGAAAACGGTTTGCTGATAGTTTAAGCATTTTAGAATGATCTGGATGACTTGCATGATAACCACATGGGATTCTCGAGCTGACAAAGCAGTGTACGATTATAACTCGTGTTCTTAGTTTGATGTTTTGTTTTTATATTATCTTGGGGAATACTATTCTGGTATTAGCTCAACCCTTTTCCCGAACATGAAATATCGCAAGCCTATTGATACTCTATCGCGATTTCCATGGAGAAAACACCCGCCACTTTGCTTTACACAACCCTCATTCGCTTCGTATTCCATTAGTACGAAGTAAATTCCACATGAACACTTTCTTCCCTCGAACATCTACTTTGTGGAACCGACTCCCAAGAGGATGCTTTCCTTGCTACTTTTGCTATTTTTTATAAGCTGTCTCTTACCGCTTACTCTTAGCACTGACACAACAACCTTCTTCAGTAACCCTCTACCTTGATGTGCTCTGGGGCCTTGTAAGAGGGTGAGCATTAGTAAAGAAATAATTGGTTATAATTGACCCATACGCCGAGGTGTTTGAATTGTTTAGTATTTCTTAATTCCACATTCTAAGCGCAGACCAAAACTCGAACTCATTTAGACCGCTCTGTTTTCTGTGATGATAATCTTAAAGCTAATATCACTCAGTGAAAAACAAAAGAAAAAATATTTAAAAAAATTCCTGGAGTGCCTTAATTTTCTTTTATCTCTTTCTTTCTTTTTTTATTTATTTTTTGAATACATTTTTTTAAAACCTTATCTATGCAGTGGAATGACCTTTGGATTCTGACCAAATATATTTCAATTCGTAATTTGGCTTTTCTTCAATAACACTAAAGCCAAATCATATCGCGGTCACTTTGCAGTGAAATCAGGCACCTTTCATCCCCGAACGATAAGCACAGCGAAGACACAGATCAGAACTTGCTGACCCCCCCAAAAAGGCGTCGATCTTGTCATAAATTTGTAACCCCTAAAGAATAACCTTCAACTCCTATCAAGTGAACGTTACGATTGCTAACGATGAAAATATAATATTTACTATTTACAATTTTAATAAGCAAACGCTTAAAGTATACTCGATCTTAGTTTTAAAATCATCTGCTGTAATCGCCGTTGAACCTGAGATTTAATTTGACCCCACCTCTCACTGAGCCAAATTTTGACACAAAGTCGGTTTTTAATGTGGGGACCCGAGTGTTCCTAGTCGGGCCGCTAGTCTGAGTTAGTCATTGCTTGTCTAAGTTCGTCATTGCTTGCCTAAGCTGGTCATA